GGTACAGTATTCTTGGCTGAAATTGCTTCTCTCTTAACACTTTGAATATATTTTCCCATTCTCTCCTTGCTCGCATTGTTTCTGATGAGAGATCTGCTGTTAGCCTGATGGGATGTCCTTTGTAGGTAACTTGATGTTTTTCTCTTGCCAATCTTAGTATCTTGTCTTTGTCTACAGTTTTGGTCAACCTGGCTATAATGTGTCTTGGAGAAGATCTTCTTGGGTTGATTTTATTTGGGGTCCTTTGTATTTCCTGGGATTGGATCTTCGATGTCCATCATCTTACAATCAGTAATTCCAAGGTCATTTATGAAACTAGTACAGAAGAGAAGTGCTTATAGAATGTTTAGATAGAAATCTATAAGCCCTCCCTCCCTCCCTCCCTTTTTTTTTAACTTACACATATCCTTTTTTTACATTACAGAATCTTATTCTAATGCATATATTCTGATTATTTAATCATCATGGGTTGAATACTTGTTACACACATGAATTTGTGCTATATGCTGTCAAAGGGAGAACAGTTACATTCATAAATTCTAACATATTAAGTCAACCTTTTTAGTGGAAGTTCTGATTTTCTTTTTTTTTGGAGAAATTTTCACCGTAGGGCACGTGCGCTCGCCAGACAGACAGAGAGAGACATAGAGACAGAAAGCGAGAAATCACCCCCCAGGGGGGATGGTCACGCCGCAATCCCTTCTCCTCCATTCTCCTCTCGGGATCTTGGGCACGCACGCACACGCGCCTGGCGTGAGTTTTAAGCCACCAGGTCTGGGACACGAACCACGGTCGACTACGTGGGAGTCCAGCGACATAGCCATTACGCTTACTGCTGGTTCCCAAAGTTCTGATTTTCTGTGGGGTTTCTAGAAAACTTTGAATTGTTAAAGCTAGCACATATGATATATTGTCGCCCTTCCCCATTGGTGGTTTGCTTTCTATCATTTCAATTACCTGCAGTCAACTGCAGTCTGAAAATAGGTGAGAATAGTACAATCAAATATTTTGAAAGAGAGAAAGATGCACACATATAAAGAAACCACATTTACATTAACTTTTATACAAAGTAGTTATAATTCAATTTTATTAGTAGTTATTAATCTTTTACTGTATCTAACTTATAAATTAAACTTTATCACAGGTATGTATGTGTAGGAAAAAAGAATATTTATAGGGTTTTATATCTACAGTGTCAGATATCCACTGGAGCTCATGGAACCTATCCCTCTTGGTTAAGGGGGGATAATGTGTATACATAAACCCAACAGTAAAACAAACACCCATGAAGCCACTCTAAGCCCAAGCTACTACTCTTATCCTAAATCCACCCTCTAAACAACTATGTTTAGTTTTTACTGCATTGTTTCATGCCATAAAAAGAATTTTTTTCCACCTACTTATGTAACTTCAAATATATGTATACTTCTGAGTTTTGTTTATTTTGTGCTTTGTGAAAAAAGAGTATGTAACTATCAGTAGTGTGGCCACTCCTTTTGAACTCAATTTGTTATAAGTGTCCACTAATTTGTATTTTTCTGAAATATTTAATATTGGCAATATATTGTGTTATGTTGATGTCTTAAAGCTTTAGAAATTAAGGTAGCATTATATTAGTGTAAAGATAGGTGAATTGTCCAAGGGAACAAGATAGAAAGCCCAAAAACAGATTTGTGCAACCCAATTGATGACTGAAGCTAGCACTGATAGTATTCTTTGGCTTAAGCAATTCCTCCTAGGTACATGAGCAAATGTATATAGATGTCTTTGTTGAAAAATGTCCATTACAGTATTGATTATAAAAGCAAAAAATTAGAAATAATCCAAATATACATCAATAGAATTATTTTAAAATAAATAACATTTATTGTGTACAAGGGTATCTTTAAAAATTAATGTAAAATGAATATCATGAAAAAATTATCTATCAACTTCAACCTTTTTAAACCAAAAATAAACTCATACTAACCTGTTACAACTCATACTAGTTATATCTAGTACGATATGAATCTAGTTTAAGGCACTAAGAAGAATAACACATCAGTGTAAAAAGAATATCAAAAAGGGAAAAAAGACAAACAGTCTACGGACACAAAATGGAAAATTATCTGTTGATATGTATGGTAATATCTTCGACTGTACTAATATGCAGTGTATTCATGCTGGGAAGATTCATTTCGTGTGCTCTAAAGATGTACAGTGATTAAATGGAAAAAATTTAAAATACAATTTAAAAAGAGTATCAGAGCGACATGAATTCTGCTAAAATTGAAGCAAAAACAAACATCAAATTTATGAGGAGGTTTGGTGGAAAAATGGTGAAATCATGAATGCTTTATAAAGAGTTTATGGGGACAACACAAGAAATTGACAGTTTACAGATGGATAACTTCTTTTAAGGAGAAATGAGATCATGCTGAAGATGACACCCATAGCAACAGACCATTTGCAAGGAAGAATTAATCTGGCTTAAACCCTTAAGTGAAGATTGACAATAGACACAATAACCAACACCATAATTGTCTCATTGAAGTCAGATATACACAATTCTGACTGACAAATGAAGATCAAGCAAACTTTCTGCTCAATAGGTGCCAAAATTGTTGCTCCCACATCAGCTACAGACAAGAGCAGAGCCTTCAATGAAACATTCAAATAAGTAGAATCAAGATCCTGAAGTGTTTCTTCAAAGAATTGTAATGGGACATGACACATGGCTTTACCCTTAAGGTCCTTGAAGACAAAGCACAATCAAAGCAATAGCTACCTAAAGGTGGAAGTAGTTCAGTCAAAGTAAAAGTGGGCCAGTCAAGAGCAAAGGTCTTGGCAGCAGTGTTTTTGCATGGTCAGGGATTTTCTCTTGTTAACTTTCTGGAGGGCCAAAGAATGGTAATATCTTCTTATTATGACAATATTTTGTGAATGTTTACTGAAGCTTTAGCAAAAAATGCTCAGAAAAGCTTCAATTCCGATTTGGTCTCCTTCTGACTTATTTTTGTTTCATGATATTAAAAGAAAAGTCTTTAAAGAACATCATATTTTTTCAGTTAACAATATATAAAAGACAGCTACTGACTTGCCTAGTCCCAGTACCCTCAGTTCCTTAGAGAAGGGCTTAATGACTAATGTCATTGCTGACAGAAGTACTCTTAAACTTGTTAGGGCTTATGTTGAAAAATAAAGTTTATATTTTTATATTTACCTTTTTCTTTTTTGAGAGATTTTTGCTATAGGTGCATGTGCTCACTGGAGAGACAGAGAGAGACAGAAGGTGAGAAATCACCCTCCAAGGGTGATGGCCACACTATCCCTTATATCCCTTTTCCTCCATTCTCCTCTCAGGATTTTGGGCACACATGCTCGCACACCTGGTGTGAGTTTTAAGCCACCTGGTCTGGGACTCGAACTGTGTTCAACTATATAGGAGTCCAGCAATGTAAGCATTACTCCATCTGCTGATCCCTATATTTACCTTTTAATTTCATTTTCCATAACCTTTTTAAGTCCCTAAAATATATCAAATTGTAGACGTAGTAGATGCAATTGAATACTGTGCAGCTGTTTGCAAGAATGGACAAAACTGGTCCTCTCATACTCTGTAGTTGAGATTCATAACCTGGTGCATTCACTGGAAAGCAATTCGGTACTATTGTCTTAATGGTGTGTACTCAGGTTGCAGATTTCCTTATTGCTTCAAATAGAAAGAAACAAAGTTGGAATAAACATAAATGTCTCTCAGTGAATGAGTCTGTAAGCAGAAAGTATGTATTTACCTGAAGACGTTGTTCAGTAGAAGAAGGGAAAAAAATATAAAAGGGAATAATACTAAGCAGAAATCCTATTTCTATACATTAAAATCTTAGAAAACTAGAAATGGAGGGAGTCTGAGTATAGCTCAAACATTTTACATTATCTATTTGCTAAATGTAATACATTTATATAATACACTTTTTATTAACTCTTAGGATACTTAAAATTTATAATCTTATTTTTAAGTCATTTTGTGTATCAGTGGATTATAGAAGTATTATAGAATAGAGAATTTTTGTTTGAATTTTCCCTTTTTGTTGAATGGGGATTGTGGGAAGAATATGTCAACTTTACATAAATATGTAGGTGTATATTGTGAAATAGGATTTATTTGACTCTCTTATGTATTTCTCCATTGGTCTCAAATCTGTATGCAATGCATGGTAGTTGTTTGGTCATTTTTACACTGTGGACAAATTTTTTAAGGCCTCTAAGTTGGAAACTTTTCTTCATGTATTTAATAATCTTAACCATCCAGAACGTTTTTCATTATATATAATCCAAATGACTTGCCTTACCAAGCTTCACTGTATTCATTTGGTATTGATACATTGAAAAATTTTTAATTTTAAAGAAAAAAAGAAAATCTCTACCATAATAAGGACTAGATCAAATAAGTTTCAAGAATCTCAAATTTGTTTTATGTTATACCTTTCCCAGAAATTTTCTCTAATTTTAAGAAATTATCTCCTCACTTATCATTTGTTCTATTAAGCCCAATGCATGATGTAGTTATTATTGTACTGTATTTCTTTTGTTTGTGCCTATGATATTTATATGATCTTTGTAGACATTTAGTTGTATTCATTTAGAATTGGCATTAATATACTGTTTTATATTTTTTAAGTCTTTCTGATCAATTCTATCATATTTCACCAATAACTGGATAGCTACATCAGTTATAAAATGGTAATGATTATCACCTCATCTTAGATAAGCCAGAAATAGTTACAACATTTTTTTTTCATTCATTTTAAAGCACTACCTGATTTTCTAAATCATCTCACCTGAATAGGTTTTTCTAGTGGTTTTCAGTGACAGTATTCTTTGTTCCTCAACTAAGTGTATTTTTTTCTTTCTTTTTTTAAAAAAAAAAAAAATGAACAGCTTGATCAAGTCATCCGCCAAAGAAGTCTGTCCAGTTTGGAACTCTTCCTCTCCTGTGCTCAGAAACAGTTAAGTGCTTTAATAGCTACGGAGCCCATTGACATTGAATAAAGAGAACATGACAAGCTAACCCACACTGGCATTGGATAAATTATTAGACCTCTAAAATACATGCTGTGAATTATAAAGATGCTTTTGTTTCCTTTCCAAACCTTGGAGAATTGATTTCCAGTTCAAGGATAAAGCAAAACAATAGTTAGAAGAACTATCAAGTAATCTAATTTATTTTCTTTTATTTCTCCTTTACATTTGCTATTATTTTATTAGTGACAGTAGCAGCAACAGGGTCTAGGACCCAAAAGCCATCAAAAAGTGCCACATCATCAAAAGTTAATTAAGGGAATATGCCTCTGGTGGCCTGTTATACTGTATTTGCCAAGAGGAGTAAATATCTTTATTGCCACCTCACCATCACTCTTGATAAGAGGCTAGAATATAACCATACATTTCTCTGATTTTGAGGATAGAAATAGCATGGATTTCAACATCACTTATGTATCTATGTAACTTGGATGTAAAATGGCTGATAGGACAGAGAATCATTCTATTACCAACTTCTTTTCTACAGTTGGAGCTAATATTTTCATCGTCTACTGACAACACACAAAAAGTAAAAACACTAAAAATTACTATATTCATTCAGCTTTGAACAGCTCTGCCATTTAAAGGAGTATGTGTTATATATGCTTATTTCCTATTTCTGTCTTCAAAGGCACTATGAATCAGTAAAAGTAACTTTTCTTATGAACCAAACCTTAAATTGAATCTCTAGGAAGAGAATGTAAATCAGTCATTTATAGAAATTCAACTTCTAATGTAAGATATATGAAGCCTTTTGCCAGAACTTCAGAATGTACTTACTTCATGAGCATTGTGCTTCAATGCAAAATCATGAGTATTTTTAACATCAAAACCAAAATGTCATTAAAATGTATGTATGCAAACATTTTGTCTTATTTTTTGAAATGCTTCTACTTTCATGGCCTTTGTACTTTTCTGGAATATCTCAATGCAATAAAACAAGCTCTAAAAACTCACTTGGTTATTTTTTTCTTTTTTTAAATTATTCTTTAAGAACTTTTTTTCTAGCACAAATCTCTATATACATGTATGATGATCTTGTATATACACCTCTTCTTAATATTAATAACTATTTAAATATTAATGAATATTAATGAATATTTAAATATTAATAAATATTAGAAATTTTAATAAAAATTAAAGCAAAGAGGCCATTGACTTGAAATGAAAGAAAAGAGCTTTTAATTCAAGAACAAGCCAATAATACAGTGTTACGATCATTATTTAAAGTCACTTGACTCCTTTTCATCAAATTACAGAGTAGGATATGTATCCTATTCATGTAACTTAAATCATACCTGAGTAATTTGTAAGGTGATATCAGATATGGTAAGAATTATCAGTCAAACCTTGAATTTAAACTCTACAAAAATAATATAAATTATTTACAGGAATGACTTTTTACCAGTTACTCAGATATGATTTTGATGAATATATATACACACACACACATATACATATATACATATATCATCAAAGGTCTCTATAACTAAGATCCAGAAAGACTAATAGCCAAAGATAGTGGAAATGTCTAGAAAATATAATAATCTACACCTTTCTGTCATCCCTGACCACTACAGTTGTTTTTTGTTTGTTCGTTTGTTTCCAGTTGGGGTTCCAGGTTCGCTGTTGACATAGACTAATTATTGCCTGTGGTAATTTGGAGAAATCGATACCTCTCAGTCTATAAGTATTTGCAGAACACTGACCTTGTGCAGTAGTACACTATTTTGGAATGCCACGATGCATTTTCCATGAGGCATCCTTAAAGATAACTGAGAAGTGTCATCTGGGCATAGAATTTTGATTTGAGAACATCAATTCATCCAAACTGAATTAGTTTACAGTTTATTTCAATGACGTTCAAGTTATAGACTTCCAGATTAAGAACTGTATTCTGCTTTTGCTCTGGTTATAAAGATCAGAGACCATGTCAGGTAGTCTTACTGGGAAAATTAGATGATCAAGTATTGTGCTGTGGGAAATGTCAGCATTTCTCACTAAAATAGGAAGTCCTAGATCTCAGAATAGTTAGATGTTTTGTATTTAAAAAAAATTTTTTTTTTGCCTAGTATGTAATTTCTGTAACCTGTTTTATATAGCATTTTCTAACTTTATTTAGGAGAATAAGGCACTGAGGAGACTGAAAGTAGAATTCAGTTCGTTTCTGTTATTTTAAAGTTTATTTTATTTTATTTTATTTTTGGAGAGGTTTTTGCTATAGGGCACGTGTGCTCACCAGACAGACAGAGAAACAGAGAGACAGAAAGCGAGAAATCACCCCCCAGGAGGGATGGCCATGCCTCAATCCCTTCTCCTCCATTCTCCTCTCGGGATCTTGGGCACGTACGCACATGCGCCCAGCGTGAGTTTTAAGCCACCGGGTCTGGGACACGAACCGTGGTCGACTACATGGGAGTTCAGTGGCAGTAGTACACTATTTTGGAATGCCACGATGCATTTTCCATGAGGCATCCTTAAAGATAACTGAGAAGTGTCATCTGGGCATAGAATTTTGATTTGAGAACATCAATTCATCCAAACTGAATTAGTTTACAGTTTATTTCAATGACGTTCAAGTTATAGACTTCCAGATTAAGAACTGTATTCTGCTTTTGCTCTGGTTATAAAGATCAGAGACCATGTCAGGTAGTCTTACTGGGAAAATTAGATGATCAAGTATTGTGCTGTGGGAAATGTCAGCATTTCTCACTAAAATAGGAAGTCCTAGATCTCAGAATAGTTAGATGTTTTGTATTTAAAAAAAATTTTTTTTTTGCCTAGTATGTAATTTCTGTAACCTGTTTTATATAGCATTTTCTAACTTTATTTAGGAGAATAAGGCACTGAGGAGACTGAAAGTAGAATTCAGTTCGTTTCTGTTATTTTAAAGTTTATTTTATTTTATTTTATTTTTGGAGAGGTTTTTGCTATAGGGCACGTGTGCTCACCAGACAGACAGAGAAACAGAGAGACAGAAAGCGAGAAATCACCCCCCAGGAGGGATGGCCATGCCTCAATCCCTTCTCCTCCATTCTCCTCTCGGGATCTTGGGCACGTACGCACATGCGCCCAGCGTGAGTTTTAAGCCACCGGGTCTGGGACACGAACCGTGGTCGACTACATGGGAGTTCAGTGGCATAGCCATTATGCGAACTGCTGGTCCCAAAGTTTATTTCTTTCTCTTATGTGTGTGATAGAGAGACAGGGACCCCTAACAGAGTCTTGCCATGCTGCGATCCTCCCCATACCAGCCTTCCCACTAGCCAGGATCACGGGTGCCTTCAGGTTGACCAGGATCAAGTTGACCTGGGATCTGAATCCTGGGCCTTCTTATATGGCTTCAATATTATGCAGTGACTTGCTACTACTTGGGATCCCATGGCTGGGCCTAGTTAGGTTTTTTTGAATGGTAAAACCACTATCATATTGTGACTATTTTAGTAACATGCTTGAGAAGTAGAAAAGTTCTTCCCTTCCCCCAAATTAGTATCTGCCTGATGGCAAGTATTTTTACATAGTTTCTCAATAACCCAGTGAAATTATAACAACCCCCACGATGGGGATGATACATCTACATTTATTCATAGAGAAGACTAGGCTTATTTTTGCCCGTGAGTACAGGGTGGAGTTAGAATTCAACCCTAGGGCTTTCATCATGAAGTTCCAATCTTTCTACTACCCTGCGGCTGTGGCTTGAATATGTCTCTCGGAAACTCATTTGTTGGGACCTAATTGTATTGGCTATGTTGTAAAGATATTAAATAGAAAGCTTAATTCCTTCATGGTTTCCCAGGGTAAGATCTAGTTGGCTGTGATCAGTTTAGGTTGATTGTATCCTGGAGGCAGCCATATCATTAATGACCCCTGTGCCACACACTGAGCTTAGCCCTTGAGAGAAGTAGTTAGTTCTCAGAAGAGATGTTTGTCAGGCACTCTCTCACTCTGCTTGTGTTCACCGTTCTCTGTGTTTCCATCAACCATGGTGTAGGTTTAGGATTTTGGACTCTCTGGCCACCAGAACTGTGAGTTTGTAAATAAAGTCTATTGTCTTGATAGTATTGCCTAGGTTCAGGTATTTCTGTTAACAATGCAATAACAGACTAATATACCAATAGATGTCTAATACACTTTCCTTGAGAAAATACCTGAACATTTCCATCCCATATATTCTTACCATGTTATTTCAGTATTTTAAGGAAACTGGCCTTCTTTATAGACCTAGTTGGTGTTCTAGCTCTGCCACATTCTAATTGTGGAATCTTAGAAAAATTACCTAAGCAGCCAATTCGAGTCTCAGTTTCTCATTTATGAGACAGAAATGGTGATTTTATAGGCTTTTTGCTAAAGTTAAATTAAGCTTGTAATGTGTACCGTTGTAGACCTCACTAGTATGGCTGACAGTTTACAGTAATTCTCCCTTCTTTGGTAACTGCCCACACAGTACAGGTGTGGTAACCCATAAGCAAATGGCTAAACTATATTGGTCTGCTCCTTTAACCTTGATTGATCCACAGGTGAAGCCCTGCCTTGCCACCAGCCCTCCCTCCCCCTCTGCTTAGGCCTCCTGTGCAAAGCCCAATGGTGGCTCAGTTCAGCTACTTTACTTTCAGGAAACAGACATGAACCCCTGCTTCTGAGATTAGAGTCCCCTGATCCCTGCTTCTTTGAGTCTTGGATGCTATGAAATACTGAGATATTCTTCCAATATGCTAGCACCACTTACTTTTTTCCCCTTAAGCCAGCCAGAGCCATTTTCTATTATCTGCAAAAAAAAAAAATATTAACAAAGGCAGAGCCAGCACTGAACCCATAGTGTAATCCCTAGATACTTGACATTTATTAATTCTTCATTCCTGCACCACACTAATCCACGTCCAAAATGGGAACACACTGATTTATTTTAAGGAATGTTAAAAATATAACTGAACCAAAGCGTCTATTGTCTAACAAAGCCAAGTAAATCACAGATACCCAAAGTTATGAACAAACAGTGCCCTATTTAGAAGTTTTCTGTCACTCAGAATCTAGAGTCAAAGTTAAAACTCAGCTTTGCTAAATGCTGACTCATGTTTCAATTCAAAGAAGGCTTACTCAGTGATTGCTTTGAAATCAAAAACCAGAACAATGTCCCTGTGATTGGTGTTATTCTGCACTGAGTCAGATATCTATAATTATAACTTTTTTCCTTTTAATTTGACAATTAAATTGAATCAGGAAGCGCTCTCTGTATATTAAATAATAGTAAAAACAAAGGCATTATTCACTCTCAGGGTATGGGGGAGACTGCATAATAAATTCTGAATAATAATAATAAAGCATGTAAAAACCTGGAAAACATTTATAAAACTCCAGGAGAAAAAGGAGACTTGGATCAAAGCACTTAGTCACTAGTACTCTGTTTACATACCAGTAAACAGCTCTACTGTGTCTCAAAGACTCTTCTAACAAGAAGCAGAACGCTAATGTGCCTTCAATCCACAGGCCACTTACTGTAGGCACCAGAACCAGCATCAGAGTGAGTGTGCAGACAGAGCACATGAGCACCCTCGGCTGTGACTAGAGGGTGTTTTTTAAGTCAGACCAAAGTAAAACTGTTTCCCTCTAATGTCAGGGCCACTCTGTCATCGATCTATTAGTATTCATAAGCAGAAGAAAAAGAGCTAGTGACTTTTTCTCTGCTCAGAGCTAGTTTTCTGTTTTCTTTTATCCTAAAGCATCCTTTCTCAGCAAGTTAATCTCCCTTAAACTTCCCCCCTCAATGTGTCCTTACATATTGAACTTTTCCAAGCACTTGTAATAGTTAAATATTAATAATCATTTGTGCTAGTTATGGGTGATAATCTATACTGTTCCTTTGTCTTTATCTGCCTCCTCCATTGAGACAGCCCATATCTCTTTTGTTTATTACATCCCGAAGGCATTTCATAGTGCCTAGCCTATAGTGAGGACTTAG